CTTTCATCTTGCAGCCAACTTGTTCTTTGGCCATACTTCCAATCTCGTTACCTTCCTTCATGTCTTAAGCACCACCTCGAGGAGCCATGAAGTGGTGACACCATGAGTCACCACTGCCGGGGCGAATCAGTTTGGAGCGCCATGTTTTTTTTTTTTTTAAGTTGTGAATAACAGATATGCAGTTTGGACTTGTAGTAAGGTTGTAAACAATGGAGTTGCCAAGATTAGTACAATAATATCCGCAACAAATTGCTCCTGGCAGGAAACTGAGCCCATTATCTGATCAGATTTGACCACCCCTTGTTCTTCACTCCATCCGGCCGACAAAGACTGCACAAGTGGGTAATGTGCCGAGCCCGCGCTGACCTCAGACCATGAGGGAAAAAGCTTTTTCAGGCACTCAGCGCCTCCTCTTTCCTCCCACTTTGGAGTTCTTAAATCAGGGCCACAGTGGAGACTTCATGAATGAGCCTTAATGTGACAGAGAAATTGGGGATCACTTTCTCTGTCTGGCTCCGCCAACAGCCTGATGATATCGACAACTAGATGGCGTGAACGCGGGAGACTCCAAAGAGAGGATTAGAGAGGGGAGATAAGGCTATCCACTGTAATTAAGCCCTATCTCTGTACAGCCACTGAAGAAAATAAATCACCCTTCAGAGCCTGCCAGAGTTGAAATGCATGAACAATTATTCAATAATTAATCGTTATACATGCAGGCTCCAAACACTATTAGGACATATTTTAACTAGAGCATTATAGCACTGTTAAATTAAATTAAGTCTGAATGCATTTAATATCAATGTAATAGATCACCTATTTAACCTTTTTAAATCACTCTCATGTAATTGTATTAGCTCTCTTATCAAGCCTTTTTTTATGACGTGCCCTATGTTAATTTCCCATTCTAGCCATGTTTAATTGAGAACAGAGATATATAAGGTGTGGCAACCAGACATAATCATGGAAACATTAAGCAGGGCCCTCGAGGAAGATGGCAGTCGTACTGAAGCAATCCAGACCGGGTACTGTAACAAGCTAGGAGAATAGTAAATGAGATCCAATATGACATTCATTGTATTTAAGTCCACTGCTGCTGCCAGACAACACATTCTTCTCCACATAATGCATCATACATGCTCTACCTTTTCTTCTGGTGGAAGTCTTTGGGTACAGAAAATACATTGTTGGCGAGAGTTGGTGTGTATACAGGGGCGTGTCCAGACCTTTTTGACTGGGGTGGCCCAATTGGGGCACTGACTTATGCGTTGATGGCACAAAGTTTGAGTGCACAAACACAGGTAATAGTTGTATTTATTGTCCTTTTCTAGGTGGATTTGACACAAAACATAGCATGTTTTTAGGTATACCCTGTCAAAGTGTGTATGTCTTCTTTCTTTCTAACAGCTGGTACATTTCTGCTTGACTTATGATGGTGTGCATGGTAGGGTTTGGGCACACGACTATTCTTAAATCTTAGGATAAACAGCATGGTGTGGGATAAAATAAAAACTCACACCATGGTACCCTGGATGAAAGTCCGGCATTGTTTGAAACCAGGCAACCAGGGGGCTCTGTGGAACTGAGATGGACGCCATTCTCCCAGTTGTTGTGCTATTAGATCGACACTGAAACTACTGTTGTAAAGTGTAAAAGATACAAAGATGGTAAATGGAGCTTGTGTAGCGCTTTTACGCCGCAGGTCACACCAACATATTCTCACAATGATGGCAGAGGCTGCTGTGTAGTGACCATCAGAAGTAACTAATCCCATTCATACACATTATGAAGCCGTCGACAAAGCAGCAGGAGCAATCCGGGGTTAAGTGTCTTGCCCAAGGACACATCGGACATGTAGCTGCAGGAGCTGGGGGTCAACCCCGACCTTCCGGTTGAGAGACGACGACCGTGTTGCTTGAATAGAATAGAATAGAATAGAATCCATTGATCCTTCCATTGGGGTCCATTGAATATTTATGTATGCCTTTGGGATGTTTGATTTCGTCATCGTTGGTTAATAAAGTTTATATGTGCAACTTTCAGTATTTGATATCATTTTGCTGTATTGCTCATCAATTAATCAAGAACATAACGGGCAGATTAAGGATAATAAAAATAATTAGTTAATCACAGCCCTAGATAAATTCATGTAACTATCTACACATTCCTCTCTAATTGCTTTTAGATATCTTGCTTGAGAGAGACACTAAACAGAAACTAATGACGGTGTCATCAGCATTATTAAGAAATGCACGATATAAATTGGAGTATGAGGAGGAACAAGTTGAACTGGAATCAGCAGTATTAGAGTACACAACACAGACGTAGTCATGTCAACTTGTTATCGAGTTAGGATACTAAATAATTTGATGTTTCAGAGAACAGCAGTAACATCTGTTGAAGAACAAAAACAAATCCACTGTGGAAGAATGGAACAGCTGGTGTTACAATTGGATAGGAAAAGGTGGAAGGCATTACATTTATTCTGCTTTTAAATAAGTGTAAATACAACCTTTTTTTTTATATTTCAAAATTTGCATAAAACATCTTCCTCCTGCCAATCTGTTTCGAATCCAGACTCAGAAATTCATTCTGTACATTTACGAATTATACTTCTTGTAAGAAGTGTATACATTTTCTATGTCAGGTTTTCACATTATATGCTGCCAAACAATTGCATATAGAGTGCACTGTATCTCTGACAGTAGAGCTTTATTTTTTTTTTGCTTTATGGCAGCCCTTCCAGGCCAGTATGACACAGTGAGAAGTAAAAGGATATTAGACATGAATAAAACAGAAGTTCTCTTTGAAATGATGTGACATTTCCATATCAACTGTAAGGAAAAAGAAGAAAAAAAAACAACATTGTGGTAGCCTTGATCTGTGTATGTGAAACTGAGCCAAGCAGTGAGATACTGTGATGTTTGATGTTGTTGCTGAGGGGTTTGAGTCGCTCGGCCAGCTCGGCAGTTAGATGCACAAACGTCTGAAATGCCCCTAAACACCGCGGTCAACAACATGCACGGACATCTGAGGCGGCACGCATGGCTCTGTGAGATGCCAACATGGTGAAACCCAAACTAAAGCCTGATGTTAAAGGTGAACTGTATCTCTGTTTAACCGCTAGCATCCTGACGGTCACATTTGAGGCCTTTTCAGAAAACTAAATGGTGTATTTAGCCGAGTATATAAACATGGTGAATTGAAGATTATGATGAAAAATGAGGACATTTTAGCACATTCATACTTAAATTAATGGACATAAGGACTTGTTTGCTGGTGCAATTATGATCACTAATCATGAGCAGCATCAGGAAGCATTAATAACTCCCTGCATGGTGTCATCTGGTGTCTGCGTATGAAATAATTGGTATTGATCGGAAACTTGGTATTGATAGCGGGCCTAGAGTTTTGAGTTGTTGTGAAGTCGATTTGTGAGGCCAGATTCTACTTTGAAATGGATCACTTTGTATAGTTAAATTATTAAAAGCACAGAATAAGACTAATCTTCTAAAACAAACAGAATTTGAAGGATGCAGGAAGCACCCCTTAAGACTGCTTAAGACTTTGTGGACAAAATTAAAATCATTGGGGCACCAGATGGCCTGGCGGTTCTGTCACACCCCCCCATGTAATGAGGGTATAGTCCTCACCGCAGCGGCCGTAGGTTTCAAATCCGACCTCGGCCCTTTGCTGCATGTGATCCCCCACTCTCACCTCCCAACATTTCCTGTCTCTCTTCAGATGTCCTATCAAAATAAAGGCAAAAGGGCCTTTAAAAAGTGATTGTAAACTGCTGTTTATGTAATGCCGTTGTTTTCTATTTTCATAACAAGCTAAAGGAGGCGCTGACCTGTCGGTGTGAACACAGCGCTCAGAACAAAAAACCAAGAGGGAGTTTGACTTCACTTAATCCTAATAGTCCTAACTCAACGATATAATGTGTTAAGATTTGATGTCTGCTAAATGAATGTGTTAATAGTTGCATATGATACCTTTAACAGAAAAAGATACTGAGATTTGGTTTTGGTTGATTTTGGCGCCCCCTCTGGCCTTTGCCTTTAAATGTAAAAAAATGTAAGTCAAAATTGCTTTTAAGAACACTGAACAGTAAAAGTCATTCAACGAACTATAGAGAACGATCTCTAAGCTTGAAGGTCTGGTTTGTTTTGGTAGCTCACAGAGGCATCAGTATTATTTTCATCATGTGTCATCACCAGTTAGAGACTCCTCACAAGACCTTTAAATATTGATGAGAGGTCAGATTCTTAAGTTTGACTGATTCATTAATAAAGACTCAACTTTATAACCACCTCCTGGCCTTGATTATATTCTAGAACCATCCAAATACTCCTCTTAAAACTTCTTTTCACCTTCTTTCCACCTTTCCCCGAGGCGGCCGTCGAGTCGGTGTGGAAAGAAGGACAGAGAAGCATTTTGCCAGGAGCGTCGATCACTAGATTTAAGTCGGCGGCGGCGGCTCGACTCCTCAGGAGAATGACAAGCACAAAGAAACAAAGACGGCGCGACGGCTTGACTGACAGCCTTTTTATGTCTGCTCTATACAAGGTCAGATGTATCCTAAATAGAAAATAGAAGTGAGTGATCCCGAAATTTCTTAAAAGGATGCCCTTCGTGTAAGGATTCTGCGGTGTGTGTTTTGGTAAAACAAAGATTATGAATTATGAGTGGAGGCGAGAATTCTCCTCTAAAGTGTCGACATCAAACGACGAAGCCAAAATTGCGAGCGGAGTAGAATAATCTAAATATAATTGCGTGACTGTTGGCATGTCAACTTCAACCTTGTCTAATAAATGCCATAAGGAAGAAATGTTCTCGGAGGTTAATTTCACTATATTACCCAGAGAATTAAGGCAATTACCAACAAATGACGAAAAGGGCTATTCAGAAGCAATTCCGAGGATAACTGACCGTGCTATGTCCTCTCAGCAGGTGGTTATTCATAATACAGCAGGTGATTCGTATGAATTATTTCCTACCTGTCATTCACTTTGCTCCGCAGCCTCAGTCTGTCCAAGTAATTGTAGTCCTGTAGATTTTCACTTTGGCACCTACGGCGGGATTCTTGGCTGACCTTCCCGGGCGCTTCCTTCCAGCAATTATCTGTGGGAAGGTTTGAAGAGAGGAATAAATATTCCAGGGGGAATCCCTGAGCAGATACCGCTCAATACAAAATGCAGGTAGAACCAGAAGGAAGCAAAACATGCTCACATTTAAAAAAAGAAAAGAAAAAGAAAACGACCTGCTCTACTAATTGTAGAAATGTTCTGCTGTCAGATGTGTTGTATGAAAGGGTCAGGAATATCGTTCTGGTAAAATAACACATCAAGCATCAAACAGCAGTAAGATGTGTTCAGTGCTGCCTTCTACACCCTGTTCATGCCTGATAAAATGGTGCAGTACCCCTGACATTTCACGTGTTGATATCCCCCCGGCCCCTCAGAAGCAAAGAAATTCATCATAATCGGTTTTCAAAAGATGTGTTACAGTACCACACTTTGGTATTTCCCCACACATGCTTATTCAATATCTAGATGATAAAACCCAGCAGGACCTCAATTTGCCTTTGAACATTTAATCTCGTAAAAAGAAAACACTTCCACACAAAGCAGCGAGAAGCTACAAGTAACAGTACAGGGTCATTTGGCGCTGTTGAAATATTGGTTAAAAAAAAAAAAAAGTAGTTACCATGGAGACTAATATGCTCCAAACTGAAGACACGTAGAGTGGCTTTTTGGAACGAGTGAAGCAAACTGTGGGGCACAAAGATAACAGGCTTAGACAAAGGGAAGTAATGTCAACACAGACTCGCACACAAAGGGCTCGACCTGTAACCGACATGTTCTGAAGCTGCAGATATGAATGTCAGATGTGTTTCAATGCCCATGTAAATCAAATCGTTAAACTCTGACCTTGACTACAGCAGCTCCAAAAGCCAAAGATTAGAGCTACACAGCATTTTTATGAACCAGACCTCCAAAGAACAAGCTCTGGAAACTGCTTGAAAGAACACTAACAGCATATTGACAATTGGGGAACGGGGGCGTTTCCAGAGGGGTTGCCAATCCAAGTGCCATCCCAAAAAGTACCAAACAATGATTGGCTATTTGCCTTGTCAGAGGCGGGACCTTAGGTTGAAATCAACTATTCTGAAAGAAGATTACTATGAGATAAAGATCCGTATTGATCTCCCGTGTCACAACCCTGACTTCTTGCAGACTTTTTGTAGCTGAGAGGAGTTTAAATTAAAAAAGACGTGGGCGAGTAACACTTATTCAACAACTTTCACTGTAAAAGGAAATCTCAGCAGAAATCATGTTCTGTATGTCATTTTCATAACTCGCGACCTTTTGACTTTTTCAAATCATTTCCTCACAGGAGAATAAAGAAACTAATCTTACACTGTGTTCTGGCCGATGTGAATTTAGGGGCCAAGGTTGGATCGGAGGTAAGGGACATGAAGTGAAACTAAAAACATAATGCAAAGTCCATTTGGAAAGCATACTTGAAAAGCAAAAAAAAAAACATATTAAGCAACTCAGAAGTCTATGCCCTGAACAGTTGGTTATAAAGTTACAGTAGTTTTCAAGGACTCTGAAGACGTTTGAGAAGAGCATGCTGCTTCTTTTCTTAATTCTTCTTTTAAAGATGGTTTAGTCTTTCTTCTACAGAATATGTACTTGAATAACGACGCTATGCACAGTGGTTAGGGTGCCAGGTTGGTTTAGCACCAATAGTCCAATTGGCCTTTGGCTTTCAAAATATTAAATCATGACCTATCCATGACAGTCACCAAGAAGTTCCATATTCTGCATGTAAGTGAAAGGGCGTGGCTTTTGAGGGGGCACAGAGGGGAGGGGGTGGGTGTAGACGAAGCACTGAGGGAACGCTACTTTCAAAATCATGCTTGTTTAATTACCAACGCTGCCTTTAACCAGGAACAGCTCATTGAGATTAAGAATTTAAATGGCAAATATTGACAATCCTTCGTATCAGTCTGTACAATTTATGTTCTTTTAAGTTCTAAACATTTTCTACGGAAGCCCGAAGAGGACATGCTTCCATACATTTAAAAGACTCCTTTGTCACATTTAAATGAATAATTTCAGGGGTTTTGTTTCTCCAGATCTCGACATAGTGATCTCATTATCTTGCTGGTTTCCCATCATAACTAGTTCATTTAATTTATTCACAAAGCTTTGTTTTCTCAACAGAAGGTGATGGTGATGGAGAAAACAAAAACAATAGTCTGGTCACTGTGACGGCCCTGAGCAATACTAATGGGATACGTTCAGCATTATTATGTTTATTTTGTGCTTTTGTGACTCTGAGAAAAAAAAAGATAAAATAGTCGAGATAACGGGAAAACAACCGCAAATAATAACGGGGAAACGGAGCAATTAAACTCAATGTTTGGATGCATGTCCACTTTGGGCTTCCATATTGTGCTCTCACTTTAAAGTAAATTGTTTTTGAGATTTTAAACAGGAATATAAAGAAACTCCAAAATCGAGATCTCATTGGTCTACTGCCACTTGTGAATTGTTACCAAGTTTTAAGCCACAAATACAGAACCCCTCGCTTCCATTGACAAAATAAATCATTCTGTATCTATTGTAGTTTTCATTTCACATCAATCCAAACAAGTTTATGCAAACAATGATCTCTGGGTTGCCTGTGGGAGGCTTGACAGTTATAATGCTGCTCCAGACCTCTCTAATGATGCACTGACTTTGGGATTGAAGTTTGCAAATGAGATCTCCCAACATCTATCCTGAGAAATCAGTATGAAAAGATCCACCCCTGTTATGATATATGTATTCTTCAGAATCTGAAAATAAATAACCCAATGTAAGCCGTACCTCGGGAATACTGACACCAAGTCTTGAGGTGATTCATATTCTGATTCTGTCGAGCTGTAAATCAGCTCATATTCCTATAAAACAGATATAAAAGCTATAATGTTCTTCTCAGAGCTGACCTTTATTTTGAAGAGCTGCCATGTGACATGCTTTGAATTAACCAACATGGACGCTTGAGGAATTTATGTCTTTGTGCAGCTTGACCTCCAAGTTGAGCGTACGCTGAAGAACAACCGGGAGGATTGTTAGGAAAACAGAGCCCTGCACACACAGCAATAAATGTATGACAAAGCACGCCAACGAGGAGAGCTCTGATGTCTATCGGCCGGCGAGCCACTGCAGCCACTGTCATTGGTTACAAGGTGAGGCCCCCCTACGTGCACCCGAGAAACTTATTGATGTGATCGAGTTGGGATTTTTTGCTTATCACGACAATATCAAGTCACCTTGTTCTTCTATTTTTTTTCTAATCAAAAGTCAACAACGCTGCTATCTAACCCTGATATGGAGCCAATTAAATCCTTGTCTCAATCCATGGCGCCGCGGACTGCATTCTAATTTGATGTCAGTTCAACCTTTAACTCGTCTCGGTCTTGTGTCCTGGCTGAAGTAAAAGTTTGGATGTGTGATCAGAGAGGAAGCAATGAATCGAGATAATCATGCTGCACAATATACTATTATTGTGGAAACAAGATATTTTCATTGGCCCATAATATAATTATCTTGTGGGAGCAAGTAATCTGTGCATACAACATAATTATCTTGTGGAGAAAAGTTATTATCCTGCCAATTTTCACATAGTCAGTCCAAACCGCATTCCGTCGGCGCCACAGTTTTACTCTGTCAGACTGCATGCGCCCTACTGGGTCCGTTCATAGTAAATATGTAAATCATTTTGAAAAAAAAAAAAATCAAAGTTAAATTCTCGATGAAGCTGCCAGACAAGAAACATGGTGTCTGATCTTCTGTATTGATATCCCATCATCTTCAGAGCACAACATACTAGGTCTGAGAGTTTGCAATTTAAGCCTCTGTTTTAACACAGGGTTGAGGGGGGGGAAGCTATTGACACACAGAAGAACGGCTAAGCCACTTTACAACCCAATCGATCACAGGTCCACTCCACTACAAGTGGCATTCCCCTTCAAACCATAGCATATCCCCCCCCCCCAAAAGCTGACTTTCAGGGGGTCCGGACTACCTTCGCTTTAGACTTCAATAAGAAGCACTTTCTGTCCTCCTTTGTTCCTCACTCAAGAAGACTCGCTTGGTTTGAGAATATTTTTTCTGGCTCAGCGTTTGGCGTGTGTAGAAGCAGGAAACAGATGGCTTGCTATTTGTGGAAGGGTCCGGTGTCCAGCTCAAATATTCCTTCACAGGATCTTGGTGTCTTTTTAATGTCTGCGTAAGGGGAACTTCACAAAGCCTTGGACCAAGAACTTGCAAAATGGCCCCCGTGACAATGGGACTGAAAGAAGAGAGGCTTTTCAAAAGGTATTTGACATTATTACACTGAATTCAAATGCATGCCCTCCTTACTTTCTTTTAACTCCAGCTAATCCCTCCCTGGAGGATGCCTATTAACCTGGGCCAACACTCTGCCCCTCCTGATGAGGCCGAGGACAGGCCTCCCCTATTTGCTCTCCAGATCTCTGTCACTCAAACGCTTCTGTAATTATTGTGTGCCTTCACAGGTTACAAAGCGGATATTAGCTGCATTGTAAGCAGACATTAATTACATGAGCAAGTGGACTCAGTTAATAAGGCTGCGTTTAAAACACTTCCCAGGATGCACCTCCATTGGCGGTTACCATGGAGCCGTGTTTACGGATGGTACACAAAATGAGCCGGGCTCCTGGATGTAAATAAAATCATGGCACAATGATAAGCCCATTCATGACGTGCCATCTGGCAGGCGCTGACAGTTTGAAATTACATTAATCCTTATCTATTCATTATGAAATTTGTGCGCATAGGTGTAGCCATGCCTCATCGGGGTATGGCGCCTCGGCTGAATTTGAATCGATTTCTATCTACCTGGAATCCATTGCAGATTCCTCTCATGGCCGGCAATGCAGGAGGCAGTGACTGCAGCTCACAGGTCAAGTCAGATTCATCAGATCAGCCCCATCCCAGAGCTGTGTGCTATGTGTGAGAAATAGCACATTTCTTTTAGATTACAGCACTCCCTCTAAAAGCCTTCAGCCTGTAGCGCACGTCTTTCAATAGTTCGGTACAGCG